GAAAAATCAAACCCTATAAGAAGCTTCTCTTTTCCTTTTCAGACTCGGAATCAGCGTTCACATTTTTTTTTCTTTTTAGGTTTTGGCTTTAGATAAACTTTACAGTGTTACTCCAGCAATCCATAAGTAATTGTAGATAGGAGTGATCCCCATAACATTTCTGGTAAGGCACGGTGGTACTTTAAAAGCAGGACATTAAACACATTAGGCAATTACTACATTTACACAGTTTATTTTACCGCTCTGTTTTACAGTGTCAAATAGGGCACAAAAAGTGGACTGAATGCAGCCAAACCCACCCCATTGAGTTTCCACTGCCGACTGCTCAGCACCAGCAGAATAAATGTAACAAATAAAAAATAAATGATTTCTATATTGTTTTAAAGTTGAGGTTTTCAGCAAGGAAATGGAAAGTAGAGAGTGTCAGATTATGATGTTAATATAGATCTCAGGAGAAAAATTAGTGTGAATTCCCTCTAGAAATCCCTATAATTAAACAGTTCCAGTTGGAGAGCTGTGTCATGTTATATAACCCAGAACATCTGCACCGCTTTAAAGATAACTGCACCTCCAGCACAATAGCTAACACGGCCCTTACATCATGTAAACGTGTCTGCGGAAAAACGTTCGACGTTTTATGGATCACATTCGTTCTGCTTTATGTGATACAGATTCCAGGCAACTAATCCCATTGTTGTACAATGCAGATAAGTGCATTTAAGGGAAACTCCAGGCAAAATATGTACAGTGGAAATTCATTTACCCGCTTTGTCTGTTTTTTTTTTTTTTTTGTGCTGCTGCTTCTGTGTATCTTGGTCAACATGCTAGTCAATTTCTTCCAAATGAATGTAGCTCTTTATTCATTAATACATTGTTAAATCTATTTTGTTCAAATTTAAGCCGTATATGTACCTGTATTTGACCCAAATAAGTCCATGTACAGCAGAGATTATACTTGGAAAGGGGGAAGCAGCACAAGGAGCCAGTCAGTTGTAATGTACAGCAAGAAGCATGTTATAGGAGAAATCAGAGTGACCGAGAGATGAGCTCATCAGTCTGCTGCTGTCTAGTCACAGGCTGAGGGAGGGACAAGACCTGTAAGTGTGACTTATAAGAGAACTATGGGGTAAGTGTTTTTCCCCATAGTTCTCTTTAGGGTCACGGGAGGTCATACACTAGCGTCCTAGCGTGACCCAAAGCTCAGTATATCGTGGGCAATAGCTCGAGATATACTGTGAGTGCCGCAGCCGGGACGGATCCCGACATTACTGTCGAGATACACCCAGCTGTGTGAGTGACATGGGGCTCTGCCTATCTAGAGGCAGAGCCAGCTGTGCCCGCCTCCTCCTCCGTCCATTCCTCCACTCAGTGCTGGATGATCAGAGAGGGGAGGGGGGGAATCCTTGCAGGGAGCCGTGAGTGACAGTCAATGCTCACTGCAGGGAGATGATCGAGAAGTGAGCGGATCAGCGGCATGTTTCTGCTCACTTCCCGATCGATAGAGCCAACCTGTGACCGCTTCTTTGTCACAGATCATCTTCAACTATGAGGATGAGTGGAAATCACTCACATCATGGTTCTACTTTAACTGCGGCAAAAAAGAAATAGGTCTCTCGCTTTGTCAGACAAAGCTGTGCTGTGTGGAGGGGCTGTGTATATCTCAGACTGGATGGACAGAAACACAAACTCTTTGGCAGATAAAACAGCTCCCATATATTTAATTTGTGTATTTAGCTGTTTGCTTGGAGTTCAGTTTTAATACACTACAGTTTTCATCAGTATAACTTTATGAATTTCTTTTTTAGTCTCTTATAGAATGTTTTACTATGTGCTGTATAATAACCTGACACAGATGTTCCACCAACATGTAGATCTGAACTCAATTTTAACTTTTGAAGTCTTGCTTGAGAACAGAAAAAATGTGTCATGATCTTTATAAGCCATTTCTTTGTCCAATAATAGCACCTATGTGCCCAGTAAGTTCATGTCGATTTGATGGGGGTATAATAGTCATTTGAGCATAGCCATATAGGCAAAGGGAGCTCAGGCCCCAACCACAAAGAAACAAAATCAGAGAGGGGCAAAGAAGAAGCTTTCCTGACTTGTAGTGGCTGCTCTTACATAGGACTCCTATCTGTCTGGGAGTTTTAGGTGTTCCCACCCGCCTTTGTCTGTTCCAGCTCTTCCTGTGGCATTCCCACTAACATAAGGTAAATGCAAAACTCAAGCAGGGAAACTGGGAGTTCCACACAGGGGGCACAACAGACCCAGTAATTCAGCACAGAGAACTCACCAACAGAATTGACCATATACTAGGCGTTTTGTCTCCTTTGCCCCTTTGGCTGACTGAAAGAGAAAAAAAACAGCTCAATACCTCCATCAATGCTAAACAGAGTGGATGGGAGAATCTCCCCTGCCGGCTATTGTATTCTGACAGCCGGTACCCATCACTGTCAAAATATCCGAATAGTGACAGTGATTGTCAGACTGTTCAGCCAACAATTCCCAAACATCCCGAACCTTGTGATGAATCCTGCTGACTTGGACATTTGAGCAAAGTATGGCCAGATTTACTCTTCAGCATCTACCAAAATATGACATGACCCATAGCAACTGTTTGGCATCAATGGAAGCCATGCTGTGTCTGTCCCCGTACCCGCTCAGTTGATTCATCATAATGGACACATGAAGCAGTGCACTTTTTGGTTCATAAGAACTAATGATGCTCCTGGTCCAGGTCTGCTCAACTCTCCCTTGCTAAGGAGTAGCAATGACCACACACAGGTCTTAATGTTTTTTTTTATTTTCACGTTTGACTGTTAGAGCTATGGGGACCCCATAGACAGTCAGGGTTATTCACAAAGGGTGAAGAGTTTGGAGAAGGCAGAAGAAGTGAACAATCTGGGACAACATAGCTGATTTAGAAAAATTCTCCAATTCAGCTCACTTTCCAGTTCAGCTATGTTGTCCTGGATTGTTCTCTTCTCCTGCCCTGAGTGTTTTTTCTTTTTAAGGATCATTGTTTTTCTGAATGTAGAGTTCTTTGTTAAACTCTGAATCTTCCCATAAGCAATCCACATGAGTGTGAGCCTTTCTTACATACCAAGGTATTTTTATCAATAAATAAAACCATTTTAATCCGATAGAGGCTTTTGCCATTTCTAATCGCCCTGATGGCATATTGTCGTTCGAAGGTAAAAAGCGGCACAGAGTGAATTATTGTAAAGCGATGAACTGCTCTCCAGCGACAGCAATCAAATAGACAGCACCGCGGGCTAAAAATCACCGCCACCTTTTATTCATCAACAGGTTTTGTGTACGAAAACCCCCTTTTTACAGCCCCCGCCACCTCGCTGGAGAAAGCACTCACATTTATTTGGCGAAATTAAATCTGAGTCCAGAAGGGCCTGTTTCTCACTTACCGGTATTAAATGAAATTAATTTCCTGTTGCAGTTCAGAAAGACAAACTTTTCAAAATGTTACATTCATAAAACGGTGACAAGAGCAAAAGGACAGCAGACTTTTTTTCGGTAAGATTTAATGCAGTTCTCTGCCTACAACTTTGTCTCTGTATTTCTAAAATGCCACCTACATCGCTCATCTTTTATTGTGTGAGGGCTGACGAAATTTTCAATAAAGTTAGGTTTTTATCTTGCAAATGAAATGGGGTAGAATGACCTATGTTTAATGTAGAAATGTCTCCTAGACAGCGGGAGGTGGCACGGCTTATTTTAAAGGGAATATATGGAGTTTCTGTGTATAAACATATTTTTTTTATTACACTACATGGCCAAAAGTATGCAGAGACCCCTCTAAATTATTGAGTTCAGGTTTCAGTTAAGGGTTCTGTTAATGCTACAGCATACAAATACATATTACACAATTTTAACCTTGTGGGAACAGTTTGGTGAAGGTCCTTGTTTCAGCATGACTGTGTCCCTGTGACAAAACCAGGTCCATAAAGAAATGGTTTGAAACATTTGGTGTGGAAAAACTCAAGCGGCCTTCACAGAGTCCTGACCTCAACACTACTGAACACCCTTGGGATAATTTGAAATGCTGATTGTGAGCCAGGTTTTCTCATCCAACATCAGTACCTGACCTCACAATTGCTCTTTTGACTGAATGGCACAAATTCCCAAAGACATACTCTACACTGAGTGGCCAGATTATTATGACCACCTGACGTTTGTAGGCAAATTAGCTATAATTAGCTATAATTTCGCGCTGAAGTTGCTAGAGGGCCAGACCATTATAAATAGGGAAGCAGGTTGTTTACCAATACAGTAGACATGATTTTTTTCTGAAGATATGGGTAAACAACGCGATTTAACAGCCTTTGAACGTGGGATGATTGTTGGCGCTCAAGCCATGGAGCGAGTATCAGCAAAACAGCAGAATTTGTTAAATGTTCAAGAGCAGCTGTTGTTAAAGTGTTTAAAGACTGGACTGTCAGCCGAAAATCTGGGTCTGAACGTGCAAATTGTGGCCGTCAGCGCCTAGTCAATGTTAGGGCACAACGGAGAGTGACAAGACTGGTAAAAGACAACAGAAGGGCAACAGTGCAGTGTCAGATTCCTCGCATCACCTTTCAACATCTCGTGGAGTCACGAGGCGGCCCAACGAAGTCATCTCGTGGCCCAACGAAGTACTGATGGGGTGGTCATAATAATCTGGCCACTCAGTGTATATTCTTGTGAAAAGGAAAGCCTTCCCAGAGAATGGAGGCTACTTGAGCAGCAAAGAGGGGGCCAACTCTATATTAATGCCCATGGTTTTGGAATGGGATGTCCAACAAGTTCATAGAAGTGTGATGGCCATATGCCCTAGTATTTTTAGAAGCTACCATACTACCTCACTACTGGCCTCCATTAGATTATGGTATCGTATGGTGGTATTAGCGGTTGCAAGAAAAGAAAATATGCTTTACACACGCAAAATACTTTTATTTTTGTATCTTTACAATACACATACGGTAAACGACTGTAGGGTACATAAGCCATTCCTCTTGGCATCTTTTGCAGCAGAGAAGAAGTTATACTGCTTGCCCCGTCTTGGAATACATGCGTCCATATTTATTGAAAAGTGGGATAGGCGTGAATGTGGCTTGGAAGTCCTAAAGGAAAACAGAACAAGAGTGTTAGTGTTGTTGCATATTTATTCCTAGGTCCTTACTTCTTAGGTCAATATCATATTTCATTTGTTTTTATTTAAGTGTGACAGTCCTGATATTCAGACCCCTGAAAGGGCAGGACAGAGGAAGACTGGGTGATATTTCCATGAAATACATTTGTAATTCTGTGCAGTTATATGGTCCAGGTACCCCTGCCAGTAAAAAGCAGTAAGATACTTAACCTCCAATGCAATTTTGTCCATAATACACCCCAAGTCTGCTTATCGGACAATGAAGGTGAAGCAGTCCACGGATAAAGTTATCAGCTTTTCTAACTCTTCTTGCTCTTGCCCATATAACAAATGTACAAATAAAATATACATCAACATCATATAAAGGGAACCCAAGGTCAATTGAGGCGCTATACATCATCTCAGTATCAGCATAATCCAAAAAACAGGCCTCCAGCCACAAAACACCGACTCTGCACCATTAACACACAAATACAACTATGAACTACACTAGTTGACTGACCCTCAACCATACATATTAAAGATGCCAAACCCAAGGTGGGTCCCTGCCCAGTGTCCCGTTGACCATAATAGCCACCTTCAAGGGCCCTGTAAACACACAAGTTGCTATGACACCCCCACAACCATAGCCTGTGTGCTCCAAAAAAAACAAATGACCCAAACAGATTAAAGGACTGCATGATTCCTCCTTCGTATCACCCCCTGAAGCCCTTCCAGTTCTGCTCCACCCACTCCAATCAGGCAAGTACTTCCTTCTTTATTTACTTTACAATGTTTAACCCCCCTCTCTTCCACCTCCCTTCAAATCCAGTCATGTAAGCCCTGCGCCTATGTTTTCAGTTTTTCCGCTACATCTACATTAAGGCCCGGAAAACCTTGGACGCTGGTGCACTTCACTCAACATGGAATAAACTATCACGGGTGGAAATTAACCTTAATACATTTAGGAATAATATTTTAATTTGTAAAAATCAATCTGGCCATGTCAGAGTTAAGCCACACAACCAAACCAACTGGTAATGAATGATAATTATGATGATTACCATAACGGAGGTCCTAAACTGTCCAGTTTCTCTGGCAACAGGAGCAATTGACATCAATTTCCTGATTGTTTCCAGTAATTTCCACTAATTAATGCCCAGAAACATAAAGTGATATTTCTTATTCTCATAAATTGTGGCGGATTATGTAATATGACTCCTAGCTCACCTTGTAAATGGAACGCTCTGTGGCTGGACTGCATGAAACAGACATGTCGCTACAGTCATCTGCTTCTGCGCAGTCTGTGCGCCTTGTACACATAGAAAGGTTACTTCATTTACAGCTTACTGATATGCAAAGAAGCTGGATTATTTATTTTACCGTGCTGCTTAAACAGCTGCCTGCATGAAATATTGAGCAGTGTGATTCCCCTGGCTTTTACACATTTGTATAGTTAAGAGCATCCTCACCTACAGAGAGAAATGTACATTTACCAGATTATAGTTTGCAGCGGCTGATTCAGCTGACTTCTGTGATCTGTTTGTGTACAAGGGAGCAGAGCTAATTATAGTGAGAATTCAACCATGCCCCTTGTCCTGCCAATACTACGTCAGGGAGTACATCTGGAGGTAAGGAAGGGCATGAAGGGTTAGGCTGAAGTGCATGTATAGCCAAAACTTTTTATTTTAGTTTTGGATAGAGCAGGGAAGAGTTAAAGTGACACTAAACTCAGGAGTTAAATCTTAAAAATGCATTTAAGTACCTTAACAGAGAGCTATGGGGTAAGTGTTATTCCCCATAGTTCTCTTATAGGTCACGGTAGGACATATAATAGCGTCCTCCCGTGACCCAAAGCTACAGCTCGTGGTATACTGAGACTGCCGTGGCCGGGACAAATCCCGACATTACTGTTGAGATCCACCCAGCTGCGTGAATGACAGCTAACTCTGCATATCTAGAGGCAGAGATAGCTGTGCCCGCCCCCTCCCCCTGTCCGTTCCGCCAGTCAGCATTGGAAGATCGGAACGGGGAGGGAGGGAATCCCTGCAGGGAGCCGTGACTGACAGACACTCACTTCACGATCTATTGAGCCGATGTGTGACAGTTTCATTGTTACACATCGGCTCGAACTATGAGGATGAGTGATTTTCACTCACCTCTTGTTCTCCTTTAACTATTAACAAAAACATATCTTATTTGTGAACCACTCGGCTGTAGATCCTCAAATCATCTCTGAATTGGTGCTGACACTGTACTTCCTTCTGGAGAGTGGCTACTTTTGTTCCCCATGGTCCCTATGTGTGTTGTAAAGTAGCCACCGCTCAAAGACTATTCATCAGGCAAACTGACTGATGAAGGGTTTCTGTGCTTTAAAACGTTGCCAATTGTGAACAATATGGGGCTGATTTACTAATTTACTATTCACTTTGAATGGGAATTTGCACTTTGCAGGAGATGTTTGCTCTTAGTTCAGTGAATTAGTTGAAGCTCTTCTGACTTCCATCATCCAATCATGTGCAAGACAAAATACTGTTTTTTTTTGTAATTTTCCTTGCCCATGATTGGGTATTCTTTGCAAACTAAAATGTCACCACATTCACTAAGCTATTGGCATATTCCCTTGCAAAGTTAACAGCTTATTTGCCTTTAGTAAATCCACCCCTATATGTCTATATTTTGAGTGTTTTATGTGCTGGTGATACTGAAGCTTAGCACTCTCTTTAAGCGACACCATTCGCTCTCGTCACCGAAGCATATTATTCTTTCTGGCTGGAGACCATTTGGTGTTGACTCTTCTCTCTCTGTATGTATATATATATACACACATAAAAATATAAAAATATTAAAACATCAATGATAAAATATATCAAAATATTAAAAAAGTAGACATAATACATTCAAACATAAGCACGCACGCACACATTCACACGCACACACACACACACTGAGCAGGTATAAGTTAATATATTTATACTAACTGTCAAATTGTTCCTTTCTTGCCGGCAAAGCCAGACAAATTTCCTCTGTGACTTTTGATCAAGATTCCCAGAAACTGACATTTGCAGAATATAAAAAGCGATTTCAGGACCCCCTAAAGAATATGAACTGATGACTTCTAAAAAGCATTTAAACTTTTAAAATTTGTCAAGATTCCCCAGCCACACATGTACGAGGAGAAGCAATCACCCAAAATGGGAAATAGAAGAAATCTCTGCTCGGAGAAAAATGTTAATTTATACAGCTTAATTAAATGTATGCGATTTAACAAAGCTAATGGCGCAATTGACCGATTCTGGGAAAATAAAGCAAACAGGGCTGATCTGCTATAGCAAGGATAAATTCTAAGAACGGTCTAGATAACAAAGTTAGGTGGGGGGAAAAAAAGGTAAAATCACGTCTCTGTGGCTGTGCAAATTTTATGTACAGTGTTGGCAAACTGATGATCTTTTTCATTTCTTTTTTTAGCACATAGCGTACTTCTTAAGGGACTTATAAAGTTGTAAAACTATAAGTGAACTCCATCTTCTGGAGTGCCCTTGGTTCACAAATGATAAATGCAAGCGGCGAGGCGTCAGCATTGACCTCATCTTCTCGGCGTTTAGAGGGAATCTCAATATTTTTAGTTATTCCGGGTCTTGGTTGTACAACTGCCCCCGTTTCCACAGCAACCGAGGCCCTTATGGCATGCTCTAACTCTAGTCCTCACATTACGGCCACCCTGGAGAATGATTCTGCCTACAATTTATAGCATAAAACAGCTGGTAATTATGTGTCAGAGCATATGTTGATGAGAAGGCCAAATACACACTGCGAGCAAAGATTTAGCATCAAAGTTGGTGGCAGCTTCTTGGAGTTAGTTGGCAAAAGGAAGTATGCGTTAGCAATTAGAAAATCTATTTTTCCCAAGTTAAATGTAATATGGAAAAAAAAAAAAAAGTTACAATCCGATCTGTAAAACTCATATAAAATGATGAGCCAGTCAAAGAAGTTTTTTTCCCATAAAAAAAGTAATTAAAAAAATAATAATACACTGCAATAAACTAAATAAACTGCATGAAAATAAAACAAAATGAAAAAAGGTAACAGGGCATGCATACCTTGGCTGTAGAAACCATTGTTCCAATATCTGCAAAAGTCAACCACATCAACAAATACTGTGAAGTCACATGATATATTTACTGCAGGGAGCTCAGATTGGCTCATCCTCTCCATTAGCAGCGATCGCATTACCAAATATCTAGGCATCTGGTCACATGACTCACTGCATTGGGATACTGGGGCAGTGTCAGGGGGGTACGGCTGGGCCGTGAGTGGAACCGGTTGGCAGGGGCAACAAGCCAAAGTCCGAGGTCGAGGTAAACAGGGGAAATACAAGAGAATAGTCAGGTCCAATCCGGGTCGAGGCAGGCAGCTAGTTTCGGTAACGGAAGGGTAAGCCAAAGGGTCGGTAATCGGGAGTCCAAGCAAGGTTCAGGAAGAGAGACGGGTTCAAGGCACAGGGAGCTAGAAGATCACACCATAGGGATAGAATAACTCAGCACTGAGCCAGGGCTCTGACTGGGCTTTTATACCCAGTGGGGAACAGAGGCCACTCCCCGGTTACCGAGGCAACCAGGTAGCTTCCCCATCAGGAGCCAATGGCGAGAGAGGCAAATGGTGTGTGCTGGGAAACTCCCCCAGCACAGGGATCACACCTGACACCAGTAAAGGGCGCAGACGCACTGTCCACCGCACACTTGTCGCGCATTGCGCACCTGCAATCCCAGTGCCAGGGGTCCTGCCAGGAAGGGGAACCCGTGCCCCCCGTCGCACATGGCAAACCCGAGGAGAGGTAAGCCCCCTGGTACCCTGACAGGCAGTGGTTTAGGCAGCTAAGGTATTTTATAGGGATGCACCGATACTGATACTAGTATCGGTATCGGTGCCGATGCAGACTCATACTCGCCCAAATGCTCCAATGCCTAGCCTGATACTTCCGGTATCTGGAAG